GTACTCTCTAATCAAAGCGCACAACCTAAAGCCAAGACCATGACATCAGTGTCTGGGCTCAAGATAATATCTTTACATTCCAAATAAGCATGCTTTGCATAAAGTAGAAGTCTGGTATCAGCATCTTCATGGTCACAGCAGAGTGCTTTGGGTTCGCTCGCATACAACACGTTTACGTGCTCTCCCATTTTTTTTTTTGTCCATGTACTTCGAGCAGCACTTCCTATGGTACCCTTGCTCAGCGGGTCTCGGCGACTCCACTGTGTACTGAGAGAAAGTCTCAGCTATTTCTTTCTCCCTCCCATCCAGGTCTATCCAGGACTTGCAACATTAAATAAATTGCCGCCAACTTGCACCAGAAAATGAAACAATTGGACCTTCTTTGTTTTGAAACAAGTGCAAACAACATTTCTTGGGTGCTGTCATATTGAAATGACCAAGCTCCCGCGATGAGATTCATGCATCTGATTGGCTGATAAACAAAACTCGATTCTCGTGACTTCTTAGATTACTGTGGACCAAATTATATTTTTAATTGAATATAAATAATTAACGTGCAAGTGAAAGGGTGGCACCATTGGTGTTTTAAGATCACTGTATTCTCTAGCAATTTATCCAAGTGAAAGAAAATTGCCCCCTAAAAGTTCAAACGGAATTGCTTAAAGAAACATCGTACAGATTCTGGCCAACGGTCTAGGTGGGCAAAACCACTAGCAACAACACGCTTTATGAATGACTTTACTGAACTTTTATCATTTTACTTTACAAAAGGAACCAAAATATTTCATTTGAGAAGACAGCTTTAATATAACAAACACTTTACCTTTTTAAACAGACAGATAAATCCATTCTTTGTTCTATTGATAGCTGTTCTAGGATGTGCCAAAAGTAAATTTAAACCCCTTTGAAGAAAAAGAAAGACTTCCAAGGTCACAGCACACAGGCGAGTCTTGAACGACATCTCCAAACAGGTTCCAAAAGTGAAGATGAAGCCTCTCAAGGGAACAGCGGTGGCATTTTGACTGTAATGGCCTGAAACAGAACCATAATTTTTATGAAACAAAAAAATAAAGAAATAAAAATAATAATAATATAATAACAATATATATATATATATATATAGATATATATATATAGATATAGTAAAGTGCGGACAAATATGTACATATATTTATATATACACACACACACATATATATGGTGAGTTGTAGCCATACCTTGCTGCAGTAAGGACACGCTCCAAAAACAGTATTAAAGCTCTGCCTACTGGAGGGAAGTGATCGTAGCCACTGAAATAGAAAAGCAAAATTAAATTCCTCCAAATTATCACCTTAAATGCCATCTGTTGTTTAAAATGAGAATGTCTTTATTTAAATTGAAAACTTTCTAGTGCACCTTAACGATTCCTTTCGTTCACTCATGGCTGACTACTTCAGCCAATGTGTGTAAGTAACTTGGGAACTTTATTGACCAACTGACACCTTGTATACATAATTGGGAATATTACAATTAATTCTGTCACCACTACTAAATAAATTGAATTGAATTACTATACAAGGATTAGCAATAATTTCAGAATGACTATTCCATCTCGCTTTGTGATGCAATTTAACCTGAGCGGGGGAAGAGGAGTTTCATAGTTTCTAACAAACCCCTGTATTATTATTGGTAGAAAGACAGTAAAGCGCAAGATGGTAAAAAAAAATGAATCAGTTTAAAAATGGATTTTAACAATGGCAAAACTTATGAAATTAGGTAGAAGATAAATGAAAAACAATTGCGAAAAAGATTTGACACACCACTTGAAGTTTGATGTCATGTAGTCAAATCAAACTAGACTACTTAAAACATAATGGGCCCCTAGTCAGGAAAAGCTCTGTTCAACTTTTTTCTCCCCCAACGCACTAGGGATCATACACACAGACTTGCATTGTTCTCTGTTGCATTACAAAACACACCTTCAAGACAACACCTGCTTGTGGTTTTAATCACAATTTCATCAAAGTCCCCGTGAGCAAGTGGTTAGCCTGTTCATGTCATAGATAACTGGCCATTGAGGCTCTGTTGACTATAAGTCCAACCTCTGTACCATATGGGGTAGTCCCAACCTGAGAAGATAACTGTAACTCATACATGGAAAACAAAGCTCTTTTTAAATTTTTTTTTTTTAAAGTCAGTCTTTCCATAGTGCAGATTTCCTTGATGATATCCTTCCAGTCCAGGATCGAAGGAGGATCTGCACATAACCATTTGCGGGTTATGGCTTTTTTCGCACCTGCTAATAGTATTAATATCTGTATTAGTATTAGTATCTGTCTGCTTTCCTCAGTCCTTGGAGTAGATTACATAGGTAAGATACTGTGAAATCAAACGCTAGGTTCAGGCCCATGACAGTGTTAATTTCTCTCATGACTTCTGTCCAGTAGGGTGCGATCTTAAAACAGTCCCAGAAGACATGGAAATGTCCTGCTGACCTACTCCCACAGTTCCTCCAGCACTGAGCCCTGTCAGGGTCTTGTGTTTGCTCTTGATACTAGGTGTAATGAAAAATCGTACCGTGTTCTTCCATGAAAATTCTCGCCATAAACCGGAGCTGGAAGTTATTGTGACAGCACTACATATATTTAACCAGTCTTCATCAGTTATTAATATTTTTCCTTCTTTTTCCCATCTAGCCTTAATATATGTTGTATGAAGATTTCTTCCCACTTGTAAGCATGATTATAGTCTGGATATCTGTTTCTTTGGAGCATTTCCCAGCAAAGCTCTTTTTGACTGTGAGAACTACTAAACATTGTTGCCCCCCAGAGCTGTCTTCTGTTCTCACTGTCCTTCCACATCAGACTCCAATAGCATCATTAAGTTGCCTGACGGCACAGCAGTGGTGGGTCAACAGGGACGATTTGATGGTGAACAATTCACCCTGGAGGACTGGTGCAAAGACAACAGCCTCCTCCTGAACATCAGCAAGACCAAGAAGCATATTATGGACTACATTAAGAGGGTGTATCGCCCACTCAGCAGCGGGACCGAGGTGGAGAGAGTAGAGCTTCTACTACCTGAGTGTTAACGTCACACGGGAAGTAAAGTGATCCTGTCCTATGGTGAAGAAAGCTCGACCACCTGGATGACATTTACAACACATGTGCAGGTTCAAGGCCAGGAACATTTTAAGTGAAACCACCCAATCCAGTCGTAGACTGTTTGTCTGCTGTGCCAGGTAGCATTACAGCTGCCTGAAGGTAAATACAGAGGAGCTCCTTAACCCAGGTTGCCTGTCTGCTGAACCTGGTACATCAGTCCCAATGTCAAATCAACTGTCTACTTTCACCTGTATATATTATTTACCTAATTTTGTATTTAATTGAATTCTAATCTTATTGTTTCAGTGCGGAGCAGGTGTATAATACATTTCACTGCACCTTATACAATTTATAATTGCGTCTGTGACAGATCAAGGTCTAGAGGCTTAAGCTTGTCTTCTACTACAGTGGGCAACTACAGTTCTCGGAGGACCACTGTCCTGCAAGTTTAATATGTTACCTCCTTTAACACAACTGATTCGAATTAACACAGCGGCAGTCCTGCGCAGAATTTCAAAATCTTTAGAAGCACAGAAACATTTCAAAACTGCAGATCAGCAGACCTCGAGGCTTTCCCAGAAGCTGACAAGACATAGCATGTCAGTTTCAGAAGAGACCTAGTTATTCCATTTTATATTTTTTATTTGCTTAAAATGCTTATAAAAATTCAAATATCCTAATTTTATTAATGATCATAAATAAACAAATATATGAGAATACCACAAAGCAAAGTTACATTAATTTGTATTTTCCTGTGCCACTACCTGGAAGAGTCCAGCAGCATTTTAAACTGTAAACTTTGATAATAGCAATAATAGTAATAACTCATATTACCTTTTATTAAATAGGGTTTCGAAAAATATTGATTCAACAGTTGTAGTTTTAGTGCCACATACCCACATTGTAGCTTTGTGTTAGTGTGGTGGAATATTTTTTTTACCAGCATTAATATTTTTTCCTGTTTCCTTTAGAGTTTTTCCTGTCATCTATTTCGACAAAAGATCTGATAAATATGATAGAATTTTTATTTTTTTTCCACGACCTGAAAAGCCCTAAGGCACTGTCTCCTTAAGTCTTTCCTGTTCTTTTCTGCTGGCATACGTATTTGGTGGAACCAAAATACAAATGGATGAAGGAGAGGACCTATGACAACACAAGTGTAACTAAGACCAGCCACACCTTAGATCACATATGTCAAACTCAAGGCCCACAGGCCACATCCGGCCCGCCGTACAATTATATCTGGCCTGCGAGATTATTTTATATATCTTCTTTTAACGGCCCTGTGATATGAAGCCCCAATGCCACACACTATAAATCCCAAGATGCAGTGCAATTGCCGTCTAAGGCAGCCACGGTTCAATTCGCGATCTGTTTATGTATACAACGCTAATATCAAATTAAAGCTAGACCCCAACAATGGCCAAGAGTAAAATTGATTCTTAAAACTGAGGCTTTCAAAGCTGGTGGGAGAATGAGTATATGTGTTCTGAAATTGCAGGTACACCAGTGTGTCTCCTTCGCGGGAGTAATGTAGGTGTAATGGAGTAAGAAGGCACCACAAAACAAAACATCAGGACAAGTTTAAAAACTTGAGAGCAGGACAGAAGCTACAAAAGGTATAGGAGTTGAAGAATACATTTTACATCCCAGCAGACGTTTTTTTACTAAAGCAAAATCACAAATAGAAGTTGCTGTGAATGCAAGTTTTATTGTGGCCGAAGAGATCGCCAAATCAGGACGGCAGTTTACCGAGTGGGAATTTGTCAAGAATTGTATGATGAAAGTGTTTGTACAGATGGTAGCACATATCTGTGCGAGCAGCTGTTCTTCGTGAGTTTGATACCCCTGCCTTAGATAATTCTTCATATTTTTTAACCTAAAGTGTTATGAAATCTTAATATGATTAAACTCCAGTTATGAAGAAAACATGTGTTTGTGTGTGTTCATAATCCATACCTCATATAGACAGGCTTGGTGGAAGGGCTGACCACAGCAAGAGTTATTACACACGTGCTCAGGGATGGCAGTGTCAAGATAATGGGAGTAACAGATGCCACACTCAACGCTGAAAGTCTACAAATGGAAAGAAATCAGGGTTTAACAAGCTTTCCAACATCCAATACAGCTGCTTCAGTCTCTGTTACCATTTGATCATTAACCACCCACTAGTAAAAACCCCACAGCTAAAAAGTCCCCTGTAACTCCCACTTCTCTCTCAATATGGACAGTTTCACAATTACACCTGAAATACATTTCATCTATTCTTGTTTGCATTGGAATTGCTTTTGATCTATCTAACTTTGAATATCTGTATGTTAATTAAGCCAAGTATTAGTCATTGAGATGTCAGTGGATAAAAGAAACACTCATCCAACTCATCTATAGAGAGGCTGTAGATGAGTAAAGAACCAGAGTTTAAGAAAAATTAAGAGATAAATGGTTTGTATGATGAAAGTGGTTTGAAAGTGGTCATTTTTATTATTCTCATGATTGTGTCTGTAAAAAAAACCCACTTAAGGGAGAAACTGTGACCACCTATGAGAAACATAACACACTTACAGGGAATAAATACAAGCAGACAGAAAAATATGTAGTACTGCCCATCTGTCCCAAAGTTTAAACAGACACATGAGAGAAAGCATCCATCGGTGTAAGCTTCTTAAACTAATCTTTATGGGAACTGACGTGTGAAATGTGAGACATACAGATTTTTCGTGGGTGGCAGGTGATGGGAAATCAATCTCCAAAACAGCCTGGAGGTTGTGCAAGATGCTGGAGTCCGGGTTCCTGCAGACGTACCACAGACAGGGCCTTAACATACTAATTAACCACATGCAAATGAGCAAAGACATTGAGTCGACTCAGACAGAAAAAAGAAGGAGCTCTTGTGCTTCCTCAAATTTTGTATTGTTGGAAGATAATTCCTTGAAATATATTTTATTTTATAAAAGTAGGCAAAATCTTACAAACTGTTATCATTTAGTATTAATCAGATGACAGAAAAGCCCTTGGGAAACATCAGACATCAAAACTTTAAATGTGCAATTTAATTAGGTTGTAATCTGCTTATCACTGTGACAAAGTCCCACACATTTTTTGTCCTGCTAAATGACTATAAAAATGTTCTATTGCAAACTCCAATTAAAACATGATTCTTCTTCTGAACAGAATAGCTGAATAAGACTTACTGTAACGTATTGACGGATAATATTTATTCCTGTTTGTTAAAAAAACTACCCGCTATTCATACAAAGCAAACATGAACTTGACAGTGCACAATGTTATTTCAAGTGCCCTATCCTTGAAACTCGAATAAAATATGCCAGAATACATAAAAAATAATTAGCAAGACCAGTGTTTTGTTACATTCATTGTATGTGAGCAAGGTTGGTTAAGTACTGACTGATATCTATTACTGTTTGCTGAAAATCACCTAATCATTTGAAAAAAATGAGAGTTTTGTCCAGATGTTGCTTCATTGGTCAAAACAAAACGAGTATCCACCCATACTTAAAAAAGGTTTAAGAAGTCATAGGAGGTCAACAAGGTTATTTGAGCCATTCTTTGTACATGTGTTAAATGGATTTATTCATTAAAACCAAAGGGATATATCTCCAGAGTTGGAAAAATACAAAATATGTCTGACTTGGGGTCAGTCATTTATTTTCTAAATATTATTATTTTAACTAGACTTTATTTTTTTAAATATGCATTTTAATGTTTTAACTAGAGTTTTCACCAACAAAACAATATAATTATTTAAATATACAGAAGTAAAGTTTAGAAACAAAGTTAGCTTTGACTTCCATTCAGAAATGTTTTTAAGAGTTAGAAAAGGTTATAGAACAAGTTTGTTAACATTGTTAAAGTTTGACCGACCGGTTAACTACCAAGCAAAAGGTGGTTAACCAAAGGTTTATAACTGATGTAGGTCTACTGTAAAACTAATATTATGCATAAATAAATTGTACCATTCACTGAACACACTATAAATTGATGATATTGTGAGGAAAAGTAGAAACTTACCACAGGTGCATATTAGAATTCAGCTTTTTCCTCAGCGGTGTCACCGCTGCAACAACAAAAATGATAATTGCTTGTGTATGCAAATTCAAGAAACAATAAAAGCCTTGAATTTAATTGGTTTACTTGAAAAACTCCTTGGGAAATGTCCTACCCACCATAATCTGCACCCAGAAGACAGCACTCTGGCAGCATCTTTGGGTGTCTAGGATCTAATTCCATCTTGATGGATATGTTGTTTCCTAAATACAAATGTAGAAGCCCTTGATACCTTTTTATCAGACTGATAAATTGAACAGTGTACGCAAATTAATTTGCATGATCAGCATTAACATGATGCGTCCACTGAGAAATGATGTAGTGTAGATGATGATGAGTGTCCGACTGGAATTTGACATCATGAGATTATTGATGATGCATTTGTAAAGAATACCAATGGCAATCCGCCTCATTGTGCCAGACCGACGGGGGTTTTCTGGCTCCAGAATCCAGGCCTTGCTGTCAATCTCTTCTAAAACATCCCAGAACTCTGTCAGGGAGTATAAAACCAGGAGGAACTGGTTGTGGAGCTGATTCAAAGTACTCTGCAAAACCAAATACACAAATAAGAGTAAAAACAGAAAAAATACATGATCTTTATCTATACAGTGCTTTTTTGGTACTTAAAACACACACACACACCACTTGTTATATACAGTACAGACGAAAGGTTTGGACACACCTCATTGAAAGAGAGACTATGAAAATTGTAGATTCACTCTGAAGGCATCAAAACTATGAATAAATATATGTGGAATAATATACTTAACAAAAAAGTGTGAAACAACTAAAAATATGTCTTATATTCTAGGTTCTTCAAAGTAGCCACCTTTTGCTGTGATTACTGCTTTGCACACACTCTGCATTTTCTTGATGTTTTTCAAGAGGTAGTCACCAGAAATGGTTTTCACTTCACAGGTGTCCCCTGTCAGGTTTATAAGTGGGATTTCTGGCATTATAAATGGGGTTGGGCCGTCAGTTGTGTTGTGCAGAAGTCAGGTGGATACACAGCTGATAGTCCTACTGTATAGACTGTTAAAATTTGTATTATGGCAAGAAAAAAGCAGCTAAGTAAAGAAAAATGAGTGGCCATTATTACTTTAAGAAATGAAGGCCAGTCAGTCCGAAAAATTGGGAAAACCATGAAAGTGTCCCCAAGTGCAGTCGCAAAAACCATCAAGCGCTACAAAGAAACTGGCTCACATGAGGACCGCCCCAGGAAAGGAAGACCAAGAGTCACCTCTGTTGCGGAGGATAAATTAATCCAAGTCACCAGCTTCAGAAATTGCAGGTTAACAGCAGCTTAGATTATAGACCAATGCCACACAGAGTTCTAGCAGCAGACACATCTCTAGAATAACTGTTAAGAGGAGACTGTTTGAATCAGGCCTCCATGGTAAAATAGCTGCCAGGAAACCACTGCTAAGGACAGGCAACAAGCAGAAGAGACTTGCTTGGGCCAAAGAACACAAGGAATGGACATTAGACCAGTGGAAATCTGTGCTTTGGTCTGATGAGTCCAAATTTGAGATCTTTGGTTCAAACCATCGTGTCTTTGTGCGACGCAGAAAAGGTGATAGGATGAACTCTACATGCCTGGTTCCCACCGTGAAGCATGGAGGAGGAGGTGTGATGGTGTAGGGGTGCTTTGCTGGTGACACTTGTGAATTTATTCAAAATTAAAGACATACTGAACCAGCATGGCTACCACAGCATCTTGCAGCGGCATGCTATTCTATCCGGTTTGCGTTTAGTTGGACCGTAATTTATTTTAAAACTGTACAATGACCCCAAACACACCTCCAGGTTGTATAAGGGCTATTTGACCAAGAAGGAGAGTGATAGGGTGCCCCGCCAGATGATCTGGCCTCCACAATCACTGGACCTGAACCCAATCGAGATGGTTTGGGGTTTAGCTGGACCGCATAGTGAAGGCAAAAGGGCCAACAAGTGCTAAGCATCTCTGGGAACTCCTTCAAGAATGTTGGAAGACCATTTCAGATGACTACCTCTTGAAGCACATCAAGAGAATACCAAGAGTGTGCTAAGCAGTAATCAGAGCAAAAGGTGGCTACTTTGAAGAGCCTAGAATATAAGACATATTTTCGGTTGTTTCACACTTTTTTGTTAAGTATATAATCCCACGTGTTAATTCATAGTTTTGATGCCTTCAGTGTGAATCTACAATTTTCATAGTCATGAAAATAAAGAAAACTCCTTTAATGAGAAGGTGTTGCCAAACTTTTGGTCTGCACCATATGAGTTACATACAGTCAGGGCCAGAAATATTTGGACAGTAACACATTTTTCACGAGTTGGGCTCTACATGCCACCACACTGGATTTGAAATGAAACCTCTACAACAGAATTCACGTGCAGGTTGTAACGTTTAATTTAAAGGGTTGAACAAAAATATCTGATAGAAAATGTAGGAATTGTACATATTTCTTTACAAGCACTCCACATTTTAGGAGCTCAAAAGTAATTGGACAAATAAGCATAACCCAAACAAAAAAGTTTTTTTTCAATATTTTGTGGCAAATCCTTTGGAGGCAATCACTGCCTGAAGTCTGGACTGCATGGACATCACAAAACGCTGGGTTTCCTCTTTCTTAATGCTTTGCCAGGCCTTTACAGCCACAGCTTTCAGTTCTTGCTTGTTTGTGGGTCTTTCTGTCTGAAAACTGGTTTTGAGCAAGTGAAATGCAAGCTCAATTGTGTTAGGATCTGGCGATTGACTTCGCCATTGCAAAATATTCCACTTTTTTGCCTTCATGAATTCCTGGGTAGCTTTCGCTGTATGCTCGGGGTCATTGTCCATCTGTACTGTGAAGCGCCGTCCATTAAACTTTGCAACATTTGGCTGAATCTGGGCTGAAAGGATATCCCGGCACACTTCAGAATTCATCCGGCTACTCTTGTCAGCTGTTATGTCATCAATAAACACAAGTGACCCAGTGCCATTGAAAGCCTTGCATGCCCATGCCATTACATTGCCTCCACCATGTTTTACAGAGGATGTGGTGTTCCTTGGATCATGTGCCGTTCCCTTTCTTCTCCAAACTTTTTTCTTCCCATCACTCTGGTACAGGTTGATCTTGGTCTCATCTGTCCATAGAATGCTTTTCCAGAACTGGGCTGGATTTTTGAGGTGTTTTTTGGCAAATTCAACTCTGACCTGTCTATTTTTAGATTTGATTAATGGTTTGCATCTGGACGTGAACCCTTTGTATTTACTTTCATGGAGTCTTCTCTTTACTGTTGACTTGGAGACAGATACACCTACTTCCCTGAGAGTGTTCTGGACTTCAGTAGATGTTGTGAGCGGGTTCTTCTTCACCAAAAAAAGTATGCAGCGATCATCCACCACCGTTGTCTTCCGTGGACGCCCAGGCCTTTTTGAATTCCCAAGCTCACCAGTGAATTTTTTTTTTCTCAGAATGTACCAGACTGTTGATTTTGGTACTCCAAGCATGTCTGCTATCTCTCTGATGGATTTTTTCCTTTTTTTCAGCCTCAGGATGTTCCGCTTCACCTCAATAGAGAGCTTCTTTGACTTTATATTGTCTGGTCACAGCAAGCTTCCAAATGCAAAACCACACACCTGGAATCAACCCCAGACCTTTTAACTACTTAATTGATTACAGGTTAACGAGGGAGACACCTTCTGAGTCAATTGCAGCCCTTCTTGCCCATTGTCCAATTACTTTTGATCCCTTGAAAAGTGGGCAACACATACAAAAACTGTTGCTATTTCAATCCTGTTAATGTGATTTGGATGCTAACACCTTCACATTAATGCTGAGAGTCTACAGTTAATGCACAGTTTGTTTGTTTTATTTCAAATCCATTGTGGTGGGGTATAGGGTGGAAAAGGAGGATAACTGTGTTGCTGTCCAAATATTTCTGGCCCTGACTGTATTCTTTTCCCCTTTGCACAGGTTTTTAACACTAAAGGATGCATGAGAGCATGAGTCTTGCCTAAGAATAAATGCACTTTCTCCTTATCTATAGCTAATCCAAGTCTGACATGGACATAAAATATAACGCAAGATATAATGTGCTTTTTTAATGAACAGCCACTGTAACAGATTAGTAGGTCATTATCCATCTTTCTACCTGCTGCTAGGAAATCATTATTGCAGGCAGTGTGGTCTGGAGACATTTTCTCACACTGTACAGATACTTCCATCTGCACACTTTTCAAATCAGAAGTTGAAGTGACGTTGACTTATGTTTTCAAGTCCAAGAGGACATAATTTCTATAGACATGTCTGACTGGTATTATTCAGAGCTTGTGCAGGCTGCAATTAAAATTCTCTTTAATAATGATTAACAGTCTGCATCCTCTGTCATTTAAGCTTGTTTCTGCCATTTTAAAGCAAAATTTTACTTGTATTTTACTCCAGACCTAGTGAAAGTAACAGTTGTCCTCTCTGAAATCTATGGAGGGAGCTGAAGGTCAGAGTTGCCAAGCGACAGCCCACCAACCTTCATGATTTAGAGAGGATCTGCAAAGAAGAGTGGGTCAAAATTCCCCCTGGTGTGTGTGCTAAACTTGTGGTTAACTACAACAAACGTGTCACTGCTGTACTTGCTAACAAAGGCTTTGCCACTAAGTATTGACTGTGTTTGGCTAGAGGGATCAAATACTTATTTCCCTTCAGCAAGGGATCAAATACTTCTTGGACTCACTTTATATATATACACACACAAACACACATACACACACACATATAGATATATACATATATATTAAATGCAGAGTTTATATTTTTTTATTTTTATGTTTTTTTTTAAGGCTACAAATAGTTTCGATAGAATTAGGATCGCATAGAAAATGTCCAGTTTATTAAAATTGTAGCAACTCAATTCAGTGCACACATTTATAGAACAATTCAGACAGAACATAAAAAGAGACTGAAAATGATATGGGAGATGAAAGGGGAAAATGAGGCAGGGGGAAATTAACAAAAAATTATGGGTCATTGTGCCAGCAGAGTGCACACAATTTAGCATCGTCCAGGTGCTGAGAGCCTGTGCAATTGCAGCTCAATTAATGTCAGTGGAATGATTACAGTTACATCTCAGGACAACTATGCCAGATCTAATTCAGAAGGAGAAAAAAAAAGGCAAAAGAGCTGTCACATACTACTGTTTCTAAGATGTTATAAAAAAATGCAGACAATATTAAATGAGACTAAATCTAAAATTGGTTTTACTCTTCAGTCACTCCCATTATACACGTCAGGTAAAATGCAATATACCTGAAATGCACAGCGGATTAGGTAAAAACCCATTCAATCCACCTATCTATATTAATTAAACTAAAGATGTCCACAAATTGCGGTATCTGTAATAATGACACAGATCATATGTGATGCCCAAATGCAACTGACCAACATTGTGGCAAGGTGTTCCAGTTAAATGCACGAATCATACATCCTGTGTACCAGCATCGGTATGATTAGACTACAAGCTAGCACCATGTACAATAATAGACTTTTAGTTTGTTAAATTTAGCCGTGTAATTGTCATATTATCCATGTGATGTCATATTATCCATGTGATGTGCATTGATCATGTCTGCTTCCAAATTATATCCTAGTTTCGCAGCATCATTAATCTTCAGTGTTGAAAGTTAATGACTTGCTGTTGTTTTTTGGTTACATTACTTGTTATGATGCCACTGATTGTCTTTTTGATCAAAGTACCCATGTTAATAACCCTGTGCATAAAGTATGGAATGTCTTAATCAGCTTCACCTTTTCCGCTGTGAACTTCTGTGCTAACTTGCAACAGACACTGACATTTCTATAAGTATTACTTACACACACAATAGTGTCTGTGTAAGTACATCTGAATATTTCTGTGAATACAATGCTTTCTGGATTTTGATGAGCCCTCAGTCACCATAGGTGGGGACCCTACACTGGTTATTGGAGCTGGGGGGGTTGTTTGAGCCTATTCCAGCTGACATTAGGTGGGAGGCAGGGTATATCCAGTTAGCAAATCCAGTAAACCCTACTAACTAACTAACGAATGACCACATGAAATAAAATATAAATGCACAAATATTTTAGCTGTGTCTGTGTACCTACCTGTGGTGTCCAGGTGATGACCAGAGGGACTGGAAGGTCAGCTGAGCATTCAGGTGCCTCTTTGGGATGCTGAGAATGTAGAAGATTAAGTTACTTTGTTGCATGAGGTAAAGTTTGATTAAAATATAAAGCTAATTAATGCTATGAATCTGTGTTGAAAAGATGAAATGACATTGCGCACCCAAACCGCTATCTGCTGTTTTTTTTATCACAAGTGAAATGTTTATATCCACGACAGAGTAATTTCAAGGCCAAAGCTTGTGTGCTTCCATATGCATGAATAGACTCGGAGAGAGAAACATTTGATTAACAAAAAACAAACAGCATTTCTCAATGAAAATTTCCGTTATGATTTAGCATTTTTAGCCTTTCAAATAAAAACAAACAGTTTGACCTTTTGTTTTTCATCAAGAAATATCACCTGTAATTTTACTTGACTTAAATTTTGAATTTCTATTTTCATGTAAAGACAATCATGTATAGCTTTGAGCATTCCATGTGGCTTACAACTATCGGTATATTGGCCGTAATCAATAATAATCACCTGATGTGCCATCAATCTTTCATGCAAAATGAAAAATTTCCAGTTTGTTTAGGTTATGACATACAGATATAGATCTGGCTAATTACAAGGCCGTAAGCAAATGGCCCTATAGAGTAGCACATTTCACAAGCCATGCAACATGAATATGAAAATAATTCTGTGTGCGAGAATAGATAATTAGCTCGGTTCAACATTTTTGGTTGACTTCAGGATAAGATTGCTGCTGTATCAGTCATGTAAAATAATAAATCTAGTCTGTCAAGCAAAGTCAAGAGTTATGTTTAAATTTCGATTGAGAAGGGGCACTACGCAATGGGTTACACATTTGAACAATTTATTAAACTACAATACTTTAAAACGATATCTTATAACTATAACACTACATATAACTATAATATAAACCTTAGAAATGAACCAGGAAAACATGAGCACTAGCAGTTGTGATTGAAATCAATATATGTATAATCAATTTGTAAATTTTGTTGTTGTCACTGGGTATTTTCCACAATGAATCTATTTTGAAGCTTATTTTCTTGTCTCATTGGTATCTTCCCTCCTTCACAGTCCACAGTCCTTCAAAGTCCACTCATACTTTGTCTCTAATGTTCTCCAATGCTTTCCGAACACAATCCACATGTTCCCAAAGTGGTCTTTAGTTTCCTTTTCACCACCAACTCTGAATAAACGATGTTCCAGGGATACATTCTTGGCTCTCGATAGTCAAATACTTGGAAGGGTCCTTTGATTAGAATGCCGAATTGATGTCATAGCTGGAAAAAGATGTCCAAAAAAATATTATGCCATAATGAATAAAATTTAACGATAGGTGCGCTTACTAGGTTTGGTTGGGAGTTAGTTAATTTGTTAAACAAACTCCAATGAGGTTATTCCAGTTTCCCCAAGGAAAATTATTATGAAAAAGTAATATTATTGGTTGTTACTAGGCTTGGATTACCAGGTACATGTGCACCATCTTAGGGTGACAAGGAAGTAACAACTAATTTCTTTATCTTTATTTCCTTCCATCCATCAATTATCAATACCACTTATTCCCTGATTGTGTCGCGGGGGGAACTGGAGCCTATCCCAGTGGTCAGCGGGCGAGAGGCAGGGTACACACCCTGGACCGTCCGCCAGTCCATCGCAGGGCCACACACAGGACATACAAGGACAAACAACCACTCACAATCACATGCACTCCTAAGGGCAATTTCCCCAATCTCCAATCAACCTAACATGCAGGTTTTTGGACTGTGGGAGGAAGCCGGAGAACCCGGAGAGAACCCACGCAGACACAGGGAGAACATGCAAACTCCACCCAGAAAGGTCCTGGTTCCCCCGGGATTCGAACCAAGAACCCTCTTGCTGGGAGGCGACAGTGCTAACCACCACACCACCGTGCCGCCCTTCCTTTTCTGTAAGTGCTTCGTACAACTCAGAAAACCTATAGTTAGAACGTCTTTCTTCTGGAAGTATTACTCGTAGAGGTAGGTTTTTGCTCTCAACTTTCAGTCAATAGTGGATTTAGAAGCAGAGCAGCGAGGTTGGAAAGTTAGGATTTCTCGAGTGGAAGTGGGCTGTTGTAGATTTATTGCAAAGCCTGCTATCTCACTGTTGAGGGAGTTGGGTGTGTGTGGACAGAGTGTGAGTAAAATAGTGAAGGAGGTGTCAGATGATGCTGTAAGGTCAAGGTCCAGCTTCTAATTTGGATTAGAAAAAGCAATAGTAGCTGGTGGCCCAGCAGGGGAAGCAATAATGGTTGGCAGACCTGACAGAGAAAAGTATATAGGCAGAGTGAAAGGTTTGAATTACCAAAAGAGGATTATGAAATCCAGGATAAGAGATAAAGCCGAGCTTGACTTAGCGCAATCAGTTCATCCTCGCATCATCCATTTCACAAAGGCCAATAGAGGCTTAAGAGATGTGGGTTATCAAGCCAGGTGTAAGAAATCCAGGTAAATGGGCTTCCATTAATTTTTAATGAGACAATGAGATACATCACACATTCGCTTATGCTACAATGGATCAATTGTTGGTGCCATACTTCTTACCAAATAAGATGGAAGCTTATGAGGAAATTAAGCAGATCATACCAAAGAAAGGAAACACTGTCGCTATTATAAAGTAATGACACAGAGCATGGCAAATAATAGCGGATCACCAGAATGTATAAGTGGCTTAAAATAAACATTTTCTAACCACTATTCTATGGATATCATATCATTCAAGGATTTCCCTGTCATTTGCTCAAATTGACAACTTTAAACTTAAAAATGAACTGTGGATGGCGTGGTTATTGAACAGTTGGGCCAATTCAGTCCTCCAGTATATTTTGGTATTTAATAGTGAATAAGCCCTATTAGTGCCGTTTGTGAATTTGGAAGCTCACTAAGAAAAACATGATGTTGACACAAAGTCTGTGGACAAGGAAACCACCCAAAAAAACATCTACCAACAACCCAAAGGATCCTAAATTGCCAACCCAGGCTAACAACAGTCAGAGCTAAAACCTGTCATGGCTGCTAATAACATACTACAGACATCCGAACTACCGTCTTGGTTCTCTGCTGAAATGCAGAAGTTCGCGGCAACAATTCAATAAGAAATTTTATTTATTTTTTGTCGAGGAAAAATCTGAATTCTGCCTCACCCAGTTTTGTTTGGGAATCAATGAAGGCTTACATAAAAAGTAAAATTATATCATATATATCTGGCAAACTTAAAAAACACAGATCAAAAGTGGAATCTCTAGAAGGCAAGTAGAGTATAACACCATGACTACCCAGAAAATAGAGAATGCAATGAGAAGGATGAAGCAAAGATGAGCAAGGAGGTAGAGCTGGCAAGCGCCTGGCCTGGCAAATTTGTAGTAAATAAGCCCAAAGAGAAATACATATCTTGAAATCAGGCTTCCACAATTTCTACCCCAAAAGAAATAAAAAGTGCCTTTAAGCAATTTTATGAAGTACTCTATACAACCAAGGGTAGTTTTCCTGAAAAAACAAAATTATTATTAGATAAATATGACCTTGTGAAGCTTTATGATGGAGCAACGGAAAGCCTTGAGGGAGTTATAACAGTAACAAAGATTACCAGAGGCCATTTCCAAAACCAAGTCAGGTAAATCCCCCGGCCCAGATGGTTTTCCTGATGAATTTTGAAAGACTTTTCCACCCAAACTGCTTAACCCAGTTCTACCTAAAACAGGGAAAGACCCGAAATTATTGAGTTCATACAGACCTAACTTTTATCTACAGACCACAAAATATGATCTTAAATATTCTTGTTACGTTTAAGAAAACACAACCCAGATTTAATTCATTAAGACCAAACTGGATTTATCCACAATCGCTTCACAACTGATAATGTCAGAAAGTTTTTTAAGATCATAAATGCCTCTGAAACAGATAATTCTCCAACAATAGCCATATCCCTAGATGCGGAGAAAGCTTTTAATCAGAATCAGAAATACTTTAATAATCCCAGAGGGAAATTATTTTTGTTACTAACTCCAGAATAAAACAGCATATACATGTCTATACATATATACATAGATATATATACAAAATTACACACAAAATATAAATAAATATATACATATGAAACTATATGTATTTATATAGTGTCAAGTGTCAATAGGTGCCATTCTGCGGGATAGCCGCCCTCAACTACTAACTTCTTCCCTTTCAGTTTTAAATTAGGTTTATTGATCTCCTCAGTTATTTGTTGTGTCATCCTATTGTTTTTTTTTTAATCTATTGATGGGAAATCTTATGAGGCAAGAAGTGCTTTTACTGAGTGCAGGTCTAATGCATGAGGCTCCATATGCAATTGAGTATAGTATAACTGAAAATAATTTTTATGTTTTTTATATACTGGTGTGTCTTTTTATCTGTTGGATTTGTTTTGTTTGGATTTGCTTTGGTGCCATTTTCATAATAGTTCTTTTTAATAAATGTATCCTTTTTCTGCATCTGGTCTTCATATAAACAATTTATGGCTTGCCTTTTTTGTTTAATTTGGAATAGGGTTTTTTCATTATTATTTTCCATATGTTGCCTTTCTAGAAATTTTAGTTTTATAGTGAGATCTTTTAATCATTTAATAGACTGTTAAGTCTCTAAAGGGTTTCTTTGCGAATTTTACCCAAGTTGTTTTTTTATGTGACGAAAAGTGTAACTTTTTTAACTCTATTTTGTGCATTTTTTCATATTCAACAGTAGAAAGCGTTGTTTATTTCCAGAAAATTAGATCTTGTTTTTCCTCATTTCATTTTAGCAAGAGCTTTGCCATTTTTATGTGATTATGTAAACCATTAACGTTAAGAGTGATTACCTTTTATTTTTTTCCTCTTCTGTAATTTCTATAAGTAACAGAAAGTATGAATTTCTGGATGCTTTGACAATGAGGGGTCTCAATAAAAACACATCTGTACAAGTAACATACATGACTATAATGAATGAAGTGCAAGTCCACCTTCAAAGGAGAGAGCAGAGTCCCTGGATTTCCAGAGGGCTCCTTGCGGTGCTGCCCATCGTCTCCCATCCATCAGGGAGAAAGCACACTTATCTGCGGTCATCCATAATACTCATACATCAGAAAGTTACTGGATACTATTATTGTTGTGCCTGAAGCTCTCTTCCTTCACTTTTCCTGGATGTGTTTTTGTCTTACGTTTCCCAGGTCCACCCCAAAGTCACGTTCATTTCTCACCAGGAGGTGGTTATTGGTTTGATCCGGTGGAGGTTTGCTCCGTTGATTTTTTCTGTCGCTTCCAACATGTTCCTGTTTCTCATGACGCAGACGCATCCTGTAGACTGTTGTAAATTACAGGGTCGTTTACATAAAACAAATGGAGTCTGGACGGATATATGGTCTGAAAGCGAAGGCCATTCTCTTTTAAAGTATTCGTGATGTGGTTGTATGCTTTATGTTTAGCGAGGATGTCACTGGGGTAGTCTTGGTCGAAATACATCCGTCTTCCTTTCAGCTGTATCACCATATTTTTATCCCATGCACAACGAAGCACATCCAGATAATGTATCATGATGGATCTGGAGCTGGAGCTCGGGGGTGGTTTGAAGCCAAGTGAACGATGACAGTGCTGTATACCCAGTGTGATCCGTGAGGGGGACTTCAGTTTTTATCAAATTCTCTATAAATTTCTGCAAGTTAATGCCTTCTTCTTCCCCCGCATTCCATTAATACATACATTATTTCTGCTTCCAAGTCAGTTGAACATATTTGGAGGTCTTCCTGTAACTGGAAATTGAGGTTCAATACATGTCTAACATTCTCCACCACCTGTTCTGTTCATTACGTCGCACAGGTCCGCAACGATTTTGTCAAGTCGTTTCCCCAATTCTCCTCTAAAATCAGACTCTAAACTCTTTTTTTGTAAGTCTTGTCTGATCCATGCTTTCTGTTTTTGACATTGCTCTGAATTTCTTTCAGCTCTGTGAGAATGTTAGACCCCATAGCATGAACTCCAGCTGCTGATGGGGAAACGCCGAGACTGCGCCACATCTGCAGTTTTGTGTTTTACGGAGACGTGGTTATGTGGATCGATACCGGACTCTGCGCTGCAGCTGGCAGGCTTCCAACTCTTCAGAGCGGATCGTAACACGGAACTCTCCGGCAAGACTAAAGGTGGTGGAATCTGCTTTTACACCAACAGTGGCTGGTGTAACGATGTGACAGTGATTCAGCAGCACTGCTCTCCTGATCTGGAAACTTTTTTCATCAACTGCAAACCCTTTTACTCGCCCCGTGAGTTCGCCTCATTCATTCTGGTCAGTGTTTACATCCCACCGCAGGCCAACGTGCAGGACGCACAGCGCACGCTCGCCGACCAGATACTGCGTGTGGAGCGGACATTCCCGGACTCTTTAGTTATTGTCCTCGGCGACTTTAACAAAGGTAACCTCACCCACGAACTCCCAAAATACAGACAACTTATAAAATGTCCGACCAGAGAGGAAAATATTTTGGATCACTGTTACACCACTATCAGCAACGCTTATCACGCCGTCCCCCGCGCTGCACTGGGCCACTCTGACCATGTCATGGTCCATCTGATTCCTGCATACAGACAGAAACTCAAACTCTGTAAACCAGCTGTGAGGACATCAAAGCAGTGGAGCAGTGAGGCTGTGGAGGATCTTAAGGCGTGTTTGGAGACTACTGACTGGGATGTTTTCAGGACTGCCACCACCAGTCTGGATGAGTACACAGAGACTGTGACTTCTTATATCAGTTTCTGTGAAGACTGCTGGATACCATCACGCACCAGGGTGAGCTACAACAACGACAAACCCTGGTTCAGTCCTAAACTCAGACAGCTGAGGCTGCAGAAGGAAGAGGCATTCAGGAGCGGGGACAGGGACAGGTTTAAGGAGTCAAAGTACAGGTTTAGTAAGGCGGTGAGGGACGCTAAACGGCTGTACTCTGAGAATCTCAAAAAACAGTTCTCAGCCAACGACTCTGCATCTGTCTGGAAGGGGCTCAGGCAGATCACCAACTACAAACCTAATCCCCCCCCACTCTGTCAACGACCTGCGTCTGGCAAACGAGCTGAACGACTTCTATTGCAGATTTGAAAGACAATGGGACAGTCCTAACACCAACACCATCCCCCGCCACCACCAGCCCCTGCCCTCCTGCACCCCCACCCCCACCTCAGCGGGGGCCTGCCCCCACCCTCAACTGCCCACATTGAAGGACCCCCTTCCGTCAACTACCATGACTCTCTCCATCCAGGAGAGGGACGTATCCAGTCTATTCAAAAAACAAAAACCACGCAAAGCAGCTGGACCCGACTCTATCTCTCCTAGCATCCTGAAGCACTGCGCAGACCAGCTGTCTCCTGTGTTCACTGACATCTTCAACACCTCGCTGGAGACATGCCATGTGCCCGCCTGCTTCAAAACCTCCACCATCATCCCCGTCCCCAAAAAAACAAAGATTTCAGGCCTCAATGACTACAGACCTGTCGCCCTGACCTCCGTGGTGATGAAGGTATTTGAGCGCCTTGTCCTTGCCCACCTGAAAGACATCTCAGACCCACACCTGGACCCACTGCAGTTTGCCTACAGAGCCAACAGGTCTGTAGATGACGCTGTCAACCTGGCTCTCCACTTCATCCTCCAGCACCTGGACTCCCCGGCCACCTAGGCCAGGATCCTGTTTGTGGATTTTAGCTCTGCCTTCAACACCATCATCCCCGCTCTACTCCAGGACAAGCTCTCCCAGCTGGGTGTGCCTGATCCCACCTGCAGATGGATCACCGACTTCCTATCTGACAGGAGGCAGCATGTGAGGCTGGGAAGCCACACCTCCAACAGCCGGACCATCAGCACTGGATCCCCCAAGGGCTGTGTTCTCTCCCCCCTACTCTTCTCCCTGTACACCAACAGCTGCACCTCCAGCCACCAGTCTGTCAAGCTCCTGAAGTATGCGGATGACACGACCCTCATCGGACTCATCTCAAATGGGGACGAGTCCGCCTACAGGTGGGAGATCGACCGTCTGGTGTTCTGGTGTGCAGCCAACAACCTGGAGCTCAACGCGCTCAAGACAGAGGAGATGGTTGTAGACTTCAGGAAGAACACAGCACCACCTGCTCCCATCACTCTGTGTGGCTCCACAATTGCTTCTGTGGAGTCCTTCTGTTTCCTGGGGATCACAATAACCCAGGACCTCAAGTGGGAGCTGAACATCAGATCCCTCACAAAGAAAGCACAGCAGAGGATGTTCTTCCTGCGGCAGCTGAAGAAGTTCAACCTGCCCAAGGCAATGATGGTGCACTTCTACACAGCCATCATTGAGTCCATCCTCACCTCCTCCATCTCCATCTGGTACGCTGCTGCCACCGCTAAGGACAAGGGCCGACTGCAGCGTATCATTCGCTCAGCCGAGAAGGTGATTGGCTGTGATCTGCCATCCCTTCAGGACCTGTACGCCTCCAGGACTTTAAGGCGTGCAGGAAGGATCATGTCTGATCCTTCTCACCCTGGTCACAAACTCTTTGAAACTCTCCCCTCTGGCAGAAGGTTGAGGACCATCAGGAACAAAACCTCACGCCATAAAGACAGCTTCTATCCAGCAGCAACTGGCCTCATCAACAAGACCAGCGACCCCCAACTATTCTTCCCCCCCCCCCCCCTCTACCTCACTAATTTACCCAATGCTCCAGCATTTTCTGGTCTGTCGTTGCAGATCAACATTGCACATTTCAATTGTTAATTTGCACATTCAAATCTATATTTTTAAAGATTGTTCATTTGTACATTCAGATCTATATTTTTAAAGATTGTATTTTTCAGTTTTATCAGTCTGTCCTATATTTTTATTTCTACATTTTATTCTTGCTTCTCATAGAATGTTGTGTTGTGCACTAAACACCAAGGCAAATTCCTTGTAAGTCTGAAAACCTACTTGGCAATAAACCTGATTCTGATTCTGATTCTGATTGCTTTGCATCTTACAGGGACATCCGTCAAAGAAATTCCTCTTGTCTTCTTCTTGCTACCCTGACATAATATTTTGAATATAAAAAATGATGTTTAAGTAAGTGACTTTCGAGGGGTAACTGTTGTAGAGCTTGGAACTTATGCTGTCGATCATTTCCAAAGTTCTATACGATTCCAAATAGTCCAAACTGCTGCAAAGCATCCTAATTACCGTGATTCATTGGGGAAAGCTCCTTTACTGAATTCAATAGGTGAGAAACATCAGTTATCTGTAACTGGTGTGTAGAAAGTCAGGGCTAAGACAAATGAGCTCAATGTTGATCTGTGGATGCGCATTGTGGCTGCTCACAAGTTATGATAGGGTTATAAAGCAATATCTACTGTAATTTTTGGACTATGGAGTGCACCTGAATTTAAGCCACACCAATTCACGCTAAAAGGGATTTTTTAAAAATACATACACCACACCTGTCTATAAGTTGCAGGCGATCACGCTGTGAGATCCTTGCATTTAATTGAATACGTAACGATAAAGTTTTTCTGACCTGTTGGATAGTTTCGTAGGTCTAATGTGTCGAAGCTAAATGTTTTGGTGGCATAAATTGCAGTCTGATTGCTGTATAGCCAATAAAGAATTTCTATTGATCATTACAAGAGACAAATTATTTTGGTCATGGCACTTTTTGTTCAAATGTAAATAAAAGCTGATTAATAAAAGCTGATAAAAGCTTTTGTTGACAATGATGCCTCTAGCACATTGATTTATCATCTTCTGGGAGATGCCTGTATTTCCAGTCAAGAATAAAATAAAATAAAAACATAGCAACAAATCATCTACATCATCCAATTCACAATTTACCAGGGGTATGAATTAATTTGGTCTTCTCTGTATGTTCTGTTCAGATTGAAAATGAGCTGACTGGATGCTGCTTTACAGTACAGTTACACAATCTGACTGTTACCTTTGTTCCAATGTGGGAACACTTAAACATAAGATACCCAAAAAAAAGAAAAAAAAGAAAAGAAAAATAAGTTGTGTAAATATTTCAGGCTGTTGACTCTAAAGACAGATGTACTGTAATGTTAGAAGTAATTTGCTTTGTGATCCAGCAGAGGACACTCTAGTATCAGTTGAACCTAATGTGTACCCTCGTAACCTCTATTGAAAATGAACCATCCAAGAAGAAAAATCTCAACACCAAATAATTCTGGGAGATGGTGTTTGCCACTATGCTGAAATCTTCACCAGAAATAATTTAATTACGAATAAAGATTAATCAGTTGATGGACTTTAGACAATGTACAGTAGCTGTCTTTCTCAACAACAAAGCTTTGGACTAACTTGCTAGCTTTCAACCTGAGAGTGGGAGTTGAGGTACCATATATCACATTTTAGGAATTCATATTTAAAGATATGCAGAGCATTGGTTGCGGTGCATGATAGTCATTTTGGAAAGATAATGGAAATTAAGCCATGATATACTTGTACTTCAGGGCGGACTTGAAATTCTAAGAATAATGAAATTCTGAATACTATCATAATTTGTCTAAATCTATTTATGCAGACTCTACCTTACAACAAGAGGGTCCAGTGCAGATTAATCTATTTCAATATAAAATTAAACCTAAAGTTTGATGTGTCCGAGGAGAAAAAGGTCATTTTACGAAATCAATGTGGAGATTTCTTCCCCGAGGTACTTCAGATTCCACCAGCATGAATTTATGTAAAGTTTCTTTATATTTTGTAGGTTTTCTGTATACTTCTCAACATTGCAGTGAATAGAAAAACTTTCAAAAATAAATAAATAAATCAGACAAAGGATGTAAATCTCAGATTTACCACCAGCAAACTAAGAAATACCATTTGTTATTCATGTAGTCAGCATGTTTCAAGTAGCGGTAGGTCAACATCAAGTTTGAAAGGGTTTTGAGTAATGATGAGAAATTATTAACGTGAAGACTGAAAGGAAAACCCTTTTTATGGATATTAGCGTGTGCATGAGTGTCTCACCTTTGGGCTGAGTTTGATAGTGAGAATGTGCTGCCTTGCCGAGTTGTCCGTCGCCTTCAGTTTCAATGTTTGGAACTCCATGTCCAGGAATAGCATCCTGAAGATACACACAAAGCCCATGCATCATTAATATCTCAATATATTAACAGAGAATACTCTAGTAGTAATCATTCTTTACTGATCAGAGCCATTCATTCTAGTTTAAGATTAATCTATTCTGGCACCAAGTCATTGACAGAGTGGATGCTGTTAATGCATTTTGCATTTTTCCTGCAGAAATCCAATACCTTTGGTCCATTCAATCCTCAAATGAACAGTTTGAGGATTGAATGGAGGCTAAGTTAGTAGCAAGAGATTCAACTTGTCATAATATGCCTTGCCTTTCTGAACATAAAACTAACCATGTTCCTTTGGATCACTAAGGCAACACATCTCCTTCTGATTGTACTTCAGCAGTTCAATCCGAAGCTTGAAGTTTAATGACTGTGAAAGTGCCTCTCTCTCTCTCTCTGATAGATAGATAGATAGATAGATAGATAGATAGATAGATAGATAGATAGATAGATAGATAGATAGATAGATAGATAGATAGATAGATAGATAATGCTGCTACTGTATAATATTTTTTTTTTCATGTATGTTTTACGTACTGGCTTACTGTTAAGATGCCAAAAGAAAATTGTTTTTTAAATAAATTGGACAATAAAGGCTTCTTATCTTATCTCATCTACATCTCAGTGATCTGCTAGAAACAGTTTACATTATGTGAAACTTGTGTATGCACATTTTTATTGTATTTCGTGTGTTGATAATTCACAAGGTGAGAATGTTATTTTTTTTTTGTTAGACTTAGATCAATGAAAAAAACATCGAATGTGAAAGGACAAAAGTAAAACAAAGACTTGCTCTAAAAAAAATTCTAATGTTACATATTCTTACACCTTTAATGGAGTGCTACATAAGCATAAGACTTGAATGAATTATTATCACATAATAGTTAAATCAATTAGCTGAACCAATAAGTTAATCAAATAAAATATAAAAGATCTATGTTTGTCACTGTGCAGTCCCTCAGCCCAAGACCCAACAGAGATCTGACGGTAACAGAGCTTTTATTGCTGGCATTTGAAGAACATTAAGTGTTATAGTTTAATAAAACATAGATAAAAAGAAAGTGCCTTTCAAGTTAATACGAAGTCCCAGCTGTGTCCATCATAAACCTCTGAACTTCTATGGCCATTCCTTCCATGGCAGACATTACTTTACCTAATTTTGTATTAATTAAATATCTTTTTGTAAAACGTTTGCCAGGCCCAGTCTAATAAGACGACCATTTTCAAAAATGCAAAATAGAGAGAGAGAAAGATAGAAATACTTACCTGGCTAATCAGCAGTCAGAATTACAGCTGAAACCCCTGGTGGCTATTAGTACAGACCATACCAATTAAGACGCTATGCAAATCTCAAGTGCTTTGAAGATTGACTGTGCGCAATGCTTCCTAACCGTAACACCACACTGAAAACTATGTCAGTCCTATTTTCAGCATAAAGTATACCGTTACATACCCCTTCACTTCTCTTCTATTAAAAGCTGAGAGTCTTCAATTAGAGCCATTTGCATTTTGCTAATATCATAATTGCAGTCGCGGTCATTAATAGCAAAGTGGAAAATTAGTGTCGTAGGCAAGGCTTAATCTGAGCTAGGGAAGAACAGATATTTTCGTACCACTCCTCACTTTCTCCTTGCAAGTGAAGATAATACATTATTACAGCTGAGGCTGTCATGCCACCAGGGCTGAACTTTATTAAATATGACCTGCATTTTATTATAACTCAATAACTAAAAATAGGGACGTCATTAAGATCCATCTTTTCATGAGGAACTGCTGTTGTTGTAGGTTCTAATCAATTTATACAACATTAAAACCAAGAAGGGCTAATCAACATCACCATTTAAACACTACACGTTTATTTTAACATACACACTATAGCTAACCGCTGAATAGACCTTCCCAGGGAGGCTTAAGAGTGTGATCCCCCTGTAGTTGGAACACACCCTTCGGTCCCCCTTTTTAAATAGGGGGACCACCACCCCAGTCTGCCAGTCCAGCGGAACTGCCCCTGATGTCCACGCGATGTTGCAGAGTCTGCCCTAAGACAATTTCTATTGCAGAGTTGGCTAACAAGACTCTGCAATAGAAATTGTCTCAGGGATAAATAAAGAATTTTTAAATTCTAATTGTAACTTCATACTTCATAAATTAAAATCAAGTTATGAAGACTCTGACTACTACCATTTTTTTTATTTCATTGCTGCACTCAAGTGTTTTGTGACCCATATTCAAAAGGAGACTGTCAAAGTAATTTTTTTTGGCACCAAGGAAACACATTCATGGCCAGTAAAAACTTTCAACTTTATATTCAGAAGCTGCAGTTGTAGAAAAATGTCCCTCAACAACTGTTTGTACCGTTGGTGCTAAACTTAACAGGCAAGTTAAGCTTTAGATAGAAAAATTAACTTTGTTAGGCCTGTGAACTTGCTAAAAGTAGAAGAGAACACTTTCATCAGTTAACCTACATGGTTTGCTCTGCCATACAGTACTATGAAATTATTCACCATAAACACCATCGCTCCATTATCTACAGCACTTATTCCTATAGGGTCGCGAGTAAAATAAATACACTTCAAACTAATTTGTTACTGAAAATCTTTTGATTATAAAACAAATATTTATCAAATTCATAATTGAGTCCATAACTGATTAATATAGTCAAGAAATACATAAAAAGACAAGATGCTGCCAGAGCCCACTTACTTTTCCCACCCAAGGATATCCATCTCAGACATGAGCTGATAGTAATAACTAGGTGGAGGAATGGAACAGCAACCAGAACGGCTCTTTAGACCTACTTCCTGCAACGTAGAAAATACATTTAATTTTTATACTATAATACCATGCAAAGGAAAGAGAAAAAAACACAAAAAAACACGGACATCAACAGTAGTCTTTCTACAAATATAAATAGAACTCAAGTAAATGTAATGAACTATTGTTTCTATGGTCTATATGTTTTGAAGAGCTCAAAAGCACTACTCATTACTCTAAAAAAATGTGCAGTACACGTCCTCACAAAAATAAGGCCAATTATAGTACTTAGGAACTCTCATGTAATATTTTTTCATAAAGAAAAAGTGTTTATGTGAAAAACATATAAACGTGCCTTTCCTTACCAAAACAGTCTTCAGCTCCAGAATGAAACTGACTAGATTGGCTGACTGCTGGAGCCTCTATAAGGAGTCAAACAGTGGAGAAAAACATATTTAAAGGAGGAAGCCATAATGAAATGACAGTGTCTACTTTTTACCTTCAGCCAAAATTTAAATCAAACAATGTTTGTGATTAATGGGAGCTGTCACCAGTTTCAATAATTAATGATAGCATAAAGGGTGTGAAAATAATGAACTTTGTAGCTCGGGGTTGAATATCAATCTCATTCAAATAACCCTGAGGGAAAATATAACAAACAGCAGCATTTTCAAGCCGGTATCGATTAAAAGTTTTTATATATATATATATATATATATATATATATATATATATATATAAACACAACACAAAAAACAATGCAAATGACAGAAACCATAGATCAATAGATACCATAAAGAAAGATGCATTATATATTTTTTATTTTACCTGCTTCAATATGTGCTCATATCCTCTTAGGAGATTTTTTAACTGCCAACAGCAATGTAATCTACAGGGACAAAGGAACTGTTACAGCAGCTAAGAAATTAACAAAATACATGTTATGGTTAAATAAGGGCTAATCAGACTATTTAAATAATACCATATTTACTTTAATTGTTTGCACAACATCTAATGATAAAATATTGCATTTGTACCTTGCTCGCTTCAGCAGTCCATCTGGTGGAAGTAGTATTCTCATCCTGAGGTCTCTTCCCTTATAGAAAATACATCAACTGAGGTTAACAGAACATATCAGTCATGAAGCCCTCAACATTAATTCAATAGATGCCTTCGAAAACAACTTTATTACTTCAAAAGGCAGGAAGGTGGACCAATAAGACGTTTATTTGAACGTTTTAACAAAAGCCTAGTCGTAACTTTAAAAATGGTAAGTCATAACTACCCCCACACTTTTACACATGAATGTGATGCTGATGAATGTGACAACGTTTTATCGCACAGTCATATTCACTATTCGTATAACAGCGTTCTCGAAATGTCGGCATTTCCTTATGCGTTCAAATGCGTGCTTCTGCAGTGGGAAACCCTTAATTTTATATGTATACAAATGCAGTTCCGGCATTTGTTCTTTTTACAAAGATGAAATAGTTGCATTGATATTACTGCAATGATAACTTTACCTGGATACTGATGAATCCATCAAACAAAGTCTTATCCTTGTTGAGAGGTAGAAAAAGCGGATTAGCTTTAACCAATGAGCTTTCCATGGAAAATAATCCACTTTTAATTCTCAAACTAGTACGATCACTTTCTAGCTAACGTTAGCATGTCCCAAATAAGGAATTAGCCGAAAATGTATTATTTTCAGATAACCAGTTGCAAGAGCTAGGTGCTTGACTTTAGATATCTATGGTACAATGCTAAGGAACTGGTAGTGAGTAATGTCAACTGTGTTGACTGTGTTAACAAAGTTATAAATCGAAGATAATTCGTCCCGCCACCAGAAACAAAACAGTTGACGTCATGAAGTTAGCTTCAGGAACTGCAAAACTATCGGAATTTCTAAGACTATTGGACTAAACTAAACTTTTTCTTCTTAGCAGATATTAGCCATTAGTAGAAAGATGTAAGGCTACATTGGATAGCTTATGTATTAGAAACGGATGGCACTTTAATTATAATAGTGTATGATAAGTTTGATAATATTTAGGGATTCTAATGTTCAGAGAAGCAAAAAACTAAGTCCAAACTAACTAAGTCAATGCAGTCATCATGGAGCTAACGTTGAAGTCTACACACTGACAATGTGGTTGAGGGTGATTGAGGGTGAAAAAAGTATATTGGGCAATTACTATCTATGTTCCAATAATAGATTTTAAAACAAAAATGTCTCTCCAGGATTTTAAACAACAAACATTTTCATTTTCATATTCAAAGTATGCGCAGTCCCTGGAAAATTCTATGATATAAGAAAATATAATATGTGAAATTGTACAGCAATTTGATCATGAATCGTACTATTCTTTTAACCCAACATTGAACAAGATCTTTTTTTAACAGGCCAACTATAAAATTGCTAGTAGAAGGCATCTTGGTCACGTTTGAATCACTTCAATTAATCTTTCTTCTGCTCCGCCAAGCCGCTATATCTATAGACATATATACGTAAACGCCGCATTGAGCAGGTTGGCCCGTTGCAGCGATACGTCAGTGCGTCCGCCATTTTGGATGTGGCAGAACTGCCCGTAAACTAATAAAAGGAAACGCCTTTCTACAACGAGCTTTAAGTCAGAGCATCTTATTCACCCACTCATACACACTAATATATCTGGGAAACAAAGAGGTAAAAAAAAAAAAACGTATCCAACTTTTAAAGTGATGATTATAAATGTTTTCTCCAGATGTTTAGGATATAAGTAAGCACCAAACCTAGCGTATGTACTTTTAATGCTGAGTGTTTGCAGCTACTATTGTAACACTGCTACTGTAATATAAATATTGAAATTTAACATGCGATCTGTGTCCATAATAACCAGATCTTTAAAAGTAGATGTGACCTGAGGGTTTTCTGAAAAAAGAGCACAAACATTTACATTTAACTGATTTTGCTTAATCGTTTTTAAAGTCACATTTGTTCACATAGGGTTGTATATATATGTATAGACAAAGAGAGAGAGAGAGAGAGAGAGAGAGAGAGCGAGAGAGGGTTCACGTTGATGATGAACCTACATACATACATACCTACCTACCTACCTACCTACCTACCTACCTACCTACCTACCTAC